GATCGCTAATTTTAATTTTTAGGGTTCCGAAGAATTAGTTGAGGTGCACGCAATCTATCCAAACACTCCCGATCAACAAAAAAATATATATATGTATTACGACTTTACAAAAATTGAAAATTCTCCAAAGTGAACACCCTGAGATTTTTAACGTGCAAATCAAAGGTGAGCATCTAAACGCTCATTTCACAAACTCTAACAATCAAAAGACGTTCACATTTGATTTGCACGTTAAAATAATTATTACAAAAACAGTCTCAATGGGGCAAGAACATAATTGGGCCGTAAACAAGGCCCATAACAGAATTTGTTTCTTTTGATTTTCTATAAATTGATATTTTTATCAAACAGCGTCTCTCACCGTCGTCATGTCGGCAATAATAGTGCAAAATAAATTATTTGTTATTACAATTCTTGTTAGTGACGTTTTAAACACTGTCGTTTTACTTTGTGGGTATTAGCATTTAAGGTCAAAATTTAGGAGGCCCAGGCCAGGACAGGTTTTAAAGGTCAATTACACTTATTTTGAATTTCCAATTTTGTTTGTTTGGGGCCTACAGTATTAATATTTGGATTTTTCGCTTTAAATTTCTCCAATTCCCCATCAAATCATTATTACTATAATCACACTGTTATGTTAATTAATACTAAACTGTTTGATAAAATATTAATATAATATTATCAAATGGCAAATCTCACTTCTTATAGCATTATAATCTTGACTTATAGTACACTATTCAAGATTTGAATCCAATGTCTTTTTTAACTAATAACGTATCCGAAATCTTCATTTAATCAACGAGTCTCAAATATAGAAAATTTAATTTTCATTTTCATTTAAACTTTAATTTTTGTTAATTAGAATAAAAGTCTGTTTGACTAAGCGTATTTATTGGGAAAAAGAAAAAAAAAACTTATTTAAAATTATAAACACTTTTAAAAGCATTTATAAAATTTTAAATAAGTTATGAGTGATGCTATAGGTACTAACGGATGGGTACTAATCTGTGTACTAACTAAAGTATAGTACCCGTACTATACTTTAGTTAGTACACAGATTAGTACCCATTCGTTAGTACCCAAAGTATTATTCATAAGTTATTATACGGTTTCTCTCATAAGCTCTTTTTGAGATTATTCGAAGTGTTAAAATTTCAAAAATATTTCTATTAAATATTATAAAATTTGACTTGATTTATTCTTGTATATAAAGTCCTTTTTGGTAAATTAATACTAGAAAACTCTTTTGCATTTTCTTTAATCAAACAACTAACAGTTTTTCATAAAAACTATATTTTCAAGAACTCTTCTTCTACTTGTGGTTGAATAAACCGTATCAAACAGACTCTAATTTATATATGAATAATCATACATAAGATTTTTGTCCTTTAGTGTTAAAAAACGATTAAATTTTATTTATAATTTATATTAAGGAGAATTAAGGTTGAGATTATAAAGAGAATTTTCTTTGTTTAATAATCTCATTTTGTAATAGCTATCAAAATTCTTGCAATCATGAAGCGAAAGAGGAGTTTTTGTTCTTGTTTTTTTTATCATCGGGACATCCGAACTAACTTACTTGCATCTTAACTAATCGCTCAAGACTCTGGAGTTATCGATCAGATAAGAGTCTTCATAGCTACCATTATTAGTGTCTAGATGATTCGAATTCAGAAACTTACAAAACCTCTTTTTACTAACTAGTTTGTCCATACCTTAACTAATCAGATAAGAGTTATAGTGACCATCCTTAACTTATTAGTGTTTAAAGAATTCAAATTCAGAAGTATGATAAGGGGGCACGTCATGGAAAATACAGTATCAATCATAGGATAGTCACAACCATAAGAGCAGTCTATGACCAGTGGCATATCTTCCGACATTACAAAGTCCGTGTCATTCGATCCATCACAAAAAGATGGGATTTTGATGTGGGGTTTTTTGGGAAGATCTGGATTTGGAATATATGTATTTGTAACTCTACAGAAAGTCCTTGGATATAGCTGTATAATACTATCCATTGCGGCAAGAACAATTACAAAGAAACGAAAGATTAAAAATTAAAAAAAAAAACAAAACAAACAAAAAAAACAAAAAAAAATGTAGGTAAGAAGATCAAGACTTACAAAAAACCTGAAAGGAATGTGAAGAAATTGAATGGAGTAGAGGAACCCTGGATCTCAGGGTCAACTGTTTGTCTTTAGAGTGTTTTGTTATGGTTCGTGGCTTTTCTCTGGTTCAACAAAATAACAGACTGGAGATGACTATTCCGAAAGACTCAGGCGTTTCTTATTGGTGGATTTTTTCCCACGTGGACTTTTGTTTTTTTTAATTGTGATTAATTAATTATTAAAGTTTCTTTGTTTAGATCTAGTTCGAGTAAACGCAATATCCCGCGGGAGCTTTAGCGAATCTCAACATAATACCTCTGGTTATATTTATTTTAATTTCACCCTTAAATAATACCATTAGTAATTATTGGAGATGGTCAAAAATGATAAGTGAGGTTGACCAGTAAAGGATGAGTTTTGAAAGGGTTATAAGGAAGCCCAACGGTGTTGAAAGTGATTTTAACTTCGAAATATGTCAAAAAAGCAAAACGTTCGACTTTGATGCTATTACATAAGCCGTTTCCCTCTAGCCTCCTCCCAAAATAATATACTTTTTGTGAGTATAAATTACCAAATATATGTACCATATAATTATATTCGTCATATAATTTGGATATTACAGCTATATAAAATGTTTTTATACGTAAATAAATAAATGTCTTCAATCAGTAAGTTCTCAAAACAAGGTTGTAAGAAAATAAAAATAATTAATGCTATTGGGACCAAAATGGGCCTAACTAAGTGACAGAGTCATTCTATCGCAATTACCTAATGGCCCATATTCTTTCAATTTTTTTTCTCCCAAACAATGTATTTCTGTTATTTCCTTTAATTTTTCTATGCATGTGAGAATAAAATTATAATTTATTCCATTTTTGTATCATAATATTCAGTATTTATTGAAACTTAAAAATGTATCATGTATTAAAATTTGTTTTTATACTAAAAAAAAAAAAAAAATGTCAAATTGAGGAAGTCAAAATAAGATAACTTAAATTGCATATCTTTTTTGAGCTAAGCTTGTTGTTGCCTCCATACTTAATCAGTAAAAAATTAAAATATTTAATATTAAAAACATTATTGTATCAAGTTGCAATCGGCCGAGTATTGATAAGTTTGAGCTCGGCTTGGCTGGAATAGTCAAAACTCAAGCTCGAGCTTCAATTGTGAGCTGAGCTTGATAGATATATGACCAATGTGGCACTTCATCATTCAGATCCCCAATGACCTAATCTACCCATCCCTCCTCCCAAAAAGGCAACGTTTCAAACGCCTCTCTCACCCTAAACTTCTAAACTTGTTTGTTGTTTCTTCTGCTTCACTCTCCTCACCCTCATCCTCCTCCTTGATTGCCTCGACATCTTCTACCTCTCTCTTTCTCCAGAGTCACCTCATTATTCCATCAACTCTTTCTTATCCACCTCTCAATCTCCCTTCTTCGTCGCGCATATTCTCCACAGGTCACTATCACAATCACCGTTAACAGCCCAATAACCACATCGAAATTTACTATGATATAGGATTATAAATGTCGAGCTCAAGTAAGCTCACGAGCTACTCAAGTCAAGTATTATTAAGCTCAACTTGACAAAAGCTACTTGAGCTCAACTCACTTGCGAGCAGCTCAGCTGTTTGCACCCCTAATTGTAACGATATAAATTTAAAAACATAATGCCAAAAGTTGAATTTTAGATTTTACATTATCATTTTCCATTGGTACATTGAGGAATTCTTATACTAATTTTCACTTTGATAATTACTATAACTATGATTATATTAGTTAAAAACTATAGAATGACAATTTGACCCACGAAACCCTTGAACAACAGAGTGTTATACCCTAACGAAGAGAGTCTATACGAAGTCGGTTCATAAAAGTCTATATTTCTTTTGGGTCAACACCAAACCAAATTTTTAAATATTTTATATGTGATAGTTTTTATAATGTATAGTGATTATAATTAACTTGGGACATTTACTATTTTGAACCTTATTTATCATATTGTGATTATTATTTGTTTAGTGTTATTATGTAAATATATTTGATGTCTTTGTATAACATATTTAACAATTTTCTATTTAAGAAGAATTTTATTTTAAATATATGTGTGATAGCATTCTATTTGTCTCTTACGAGTCTGTAATCTATTAATAAGTTAATGTGAAGTTCTACTATTTCATTTGCAATTGCAATGCCAAACTCTTGCCACGTCTAATACAGGAAACGGAAGTTTAAAAGCAGCTGTTAGATAAGGTAGTGCAGATAATGATCCCAATAACGGAAATCAAACACATTTCAAGCTAAAAAAATCAACCGAAAAGAAGACTGCTTTACTTACTGGAAAAAGGCGACTTTATCTGTTCATATGCATAACTAAAACTAATTATCCTGCTGCAGCCAACAACAGTTAGGTGCCTTAGACATTTCAATGGAATATGAGTTTCTGTAATTAGTAAATGCTAGTAAAATATATAGCTTCCAATGAAGATAGGAAACATAGTGTAGATTGAGAGTTTGGCTTACACCCCTCAAACAAGTAAACTTGCGCAATCTCAAGTGTACCGGAGATTGTTATGGAGTTTCTTTCATGGAGGTTTTTTACGAGTCTCATATGAAAATGCCTGGCATGCAAGTACCACCTATGAGATGCTCCTTTTATCTTTTCACTGTACCAAAGCTTATATCTGATGAAAACAAGCTTCAGGTTAAAAATGAAGTGAAAATTTCATCAATGTTCCTTGAGGTTTCATAGTCTATTGTCTAAACATGGGACTCTAAATTAGACAAACCCTCAAATGAAAGCAGCAACTCTCACAATTAAAACCTTTTATCCAAGCAAATGACAAGAAGCTTATTTAAATGAAATATAAAATAATGAATGTATTCAATTCAACAACAATGCTGTTGCTGTACTTATACAAATTATAACAGTGTTCATGTGAAAAAAAAAAAAACAAAGAACAACATTATTTGGAACTAGGAAAACCTATCAATATGTTAATCAGACAAAAAATTTCATTAACTTAGATCCGTCGTATGATGCTTCCATAGAGGTATTCTCCCTAAACATTCCTTCTATGGTGAGTAAACTTATTGGAGCTGCTATGAAGAGTGTATTAAACACATCAAATCTGTAACATGAGCACCCTCTCAGCAATTTCCGGCTTTTCTCTTAACTTCTTAGCAAAATCGGCATCTAATTGCATTTGGATGTTGGCATCAGAAAAACATAAAAGCTATTTCTCACCCCCTGACTGTATAACATTCACCAGATTAATACATAACAAAACATCGCAAGCAATAACCAAGAATAGAATCAATCAGATTTTTCGAGGCTATATATGTTGCCAATAACTCCAATAATGCTTACTACAATGGCCAATACTAACATCAACCACGACACAAACCTCTCCATAACGCTTAAACCCTCTCCTTGCCGACTTAACCTTAAAGCCACAAGAGATGGGAATATAAAACCTAATGTCAGTGCTGTCGTTGCCCCTGTAAACTTGAAAGCGGTCCAAATGTTGGGAATCGTGGTAGAACCAAAATAAATGCAGACCAATAGAACCACTGTTAAAGTCAACGACCTCTTCTTACTCTCTATGAGCGGAGCTGACCCCACAAACACCAAGGCATCTACAGTCTGTCTTAACGAGAAATGAATAACAGGGAAAACAAGAATCAAATGAAGAATGTACCCAATCCGTACAATATAGTTCAATGCAGAGCTGAAACGGATCCCAAGATCCTTGTCAAAATTGGTCAGCACATCAGACTCAGTGCCCTTCCCAAAAAGTAAATACCCTGATGTGGCAGTTGATAAATAAACCACAATGCAAAGGATAATCGTAATTCTCCCCACCCGATTCATCTTCTGAGGAGACCGCCCTTCAAGCTCATTATAAATAGGTTGTACATTAAAATGGCAAACATATGCATTTGTCATAATTGGAATCACCACAAGCAAATCCAAAATCGCAGTCTTTGACCCAAGTTCAGGACTCATCCTCGGAGGCTCAATTTTCCCTTCAACAAGCTTAATAAATGCAACCACAAAACATACCACAACAAACACCACAGCGAGGGCCACAGATGCAGCTGAAGTCAAGCTCAAAGATTCAATCCTATCCAACACACAAAGCGGTGCAAGAAAAACCACCACGACAATAAGAACCAACAATTTCCTATGATCCCACATCCCATTCCCTAACCATTGATCGAAAACTCCAGTATGATGAGGTGAACCCGACATAACATCGCCCAAAATGATCAAATACACTACCAAAACACCACCAGTATTTATAATTATACAAATCTCAGACAAAACCCTAGCAGGCCTACCCAATGCATATTGCACAACTTCTCCATACGACGACGCCTTACAAAAAACCGAATACCTCACTAACAATTCAACACTAATTTCTGACAAAATGCCGATAAAGATTATCAACAAAAACCCTAAAGTCAATCCAAGAACTTTCATAGTAGCAGGCAAGGCCATCATCCCAGCACCAATAATAGTGGTGGTTAAATTAAAAACAGCCCCATAAGTACCAGACCCATTATTGTTTTGACCATGTATAAGGGGATGAACATCAGTATCATCATCAGGATCATCAACTAAGCTTATGATCATTGGCATTCTTCAATTCAAATCCGTTTTCATCATCAAGATGGGATTTTGATGTGGGTTTTTTGGGAAGATCTTGGATTTGGTGAACTATCATGTATTTGTAACTCTACAGAAAAGTCCTTGGATATAGCTGTATAATACTATCCATTGCGGCAAGAACAATTACAAAGAAACGAAAGATCTAAAAATTACAAAAACAAAACAAAACAAAACACAAGAAAGAAAATGTAGGTAAGAAGATCAAGACTTACAAAAAACATGAAAGGAATTGTGAAAAATTGAATGGAGAGCGAACCCTGGATCTCAGGGTCAACTGTTTGTCTTTAAGGATGTTTTTGATCTGGTTCGTGGCTTTTCTCTGGTTCAACAACCTAACACTAGGAATGACTATTCCGAAAGACTCAGGCTTTCTTATTGGTGGATTTCTTTCCCACGTGGACTTTTTTTTTTTTTTAATTTAGTTGAATTAATTTAAAGTTTCTTTTTTTAGATCTAGTCTTCGAGTAAACGCAATATTCCCGCGGGGCTTTAGCGAAATCTCAACATAATACCTCGGTTATATTTATTTTAATTTTCACCCTTAAATTAATACCATTTAGTAATTATTGGAGATGGTCATAAATGATAAGTGAGTTGACCAGTAAAGTGAGTTTTGTAAAGGAGGTTATAAAGAAACCCAACGGTAATTTTGAAAGTGATTTTAAACTTCGATAGGTCAAAAAAAAGCCAAAAATCGTCGACTTTGATGCTATTAACGTAAGTCATTTTCCCTTTACCTCCTTCCCAAATAATAACACTTTTGTGGAGTATAAATTACCAAATATATGTACCATATAATTATTTCATTCTGTCATATAATTTGGATTTACAGTTTATATAAAATGTTTTTATACAGTAATTAAATAAATGTCTTCAATCAGTAAGTTCTCAAAACAAGTTGGACAAGAAAATAAAAATAATTAAGCTATTGGCCCAAAATGGGCCTAATTTAAGTGACAAGAGTTCTATCAATTACCTAATGGGCCCAATTCTTTCACTTTTTTTTCTCCCAAACAATGTATTTCTGTTATTTCCTTAATTTTTCTATGCATGTGAGAATAAAATTATAATTTATTCCATTTTTGTATCATAATATTCAGTATTTATTGAACTAAAAATGTATCATGTATTAAAATTTGTTTTTTATAAAAAAAAAAAAAATGTCAAATTGAGGAGTCAAATAAGATAGCTTAAATTGCATCATCTTTTTTCTGAGCTAAGCTTGTTGTTGCCTTCATACTTAATCAGTATTAAAAAATTAAATATTTAATATTAAATAACGTTATTGTATCTAAGGTTGCAATCGTGCCGAGATTGATAAGTTTGAGCTCGGCTTGGCTGGAATAGTCAAAACTCAAGCTCGAGCTTCAATTGTTAAGCTTGAGCTTGATAGATATATGACCAGTTGTTGGCACTTCCACATTCAGATCCCCAATGACCTACTACCACATCCCTCCTCCCAAAAAGGCCAACCGTTTCAAACGCCTCTCTCACCCTAAACCTTCTAAAACTTGTTGTTGTTGTCTCTCTTCTCTGCTTCACTCTCCTCACCCTCATCCTCCTCCTTGCCTTCCCGCATCTTCTACCTCATCTTCGTCCAATCACCTCATTATTCCATCAACTCTATTTCTATCAAACCTCTCAATCTCCCTTCTTCGTCTTTGCTATTTCTCCCAGGTCACTATCGCAATCACCGCTAACAGTCCCAATACCACATCGAAATTTACTATGATTAGGATTATAATATGTCGAGCTCAAGTAAGCTCACGAGCTACTCAAGTCAAGTATTATTAGCTCAACTTGACACAAAAGCTACTTGCCTCAACTCAACTTGCGAGCGCTCAGCTCGTTTGCACCCCTAATTGTAACATATAAATTTAAAAACATAATGCCAAAAAGTTGAATTTTAGATTTTAGATTTCATATTTTCCATTATCTTTGGTACATGAGGAATTCTTATACTAATTTTCACTTTGATAATTACTATAACTATGATTTATTAGTTAAAAATATTAGGAATGAAAATTTGACCCACGAAACCCTTGAACACAAGAGTGTTATACCCTAACGAAGAGAGTCTATACGAGTCGGTTCATAAGTCTATATTTCGTTTTGGGTCACACCAAACCTAAATTTGTTAAATATTTTATGATTGTGATAGTTTTTAATGTATTATGTGATTATAATTAATACTTTTGGGACATTTTACTTATTTTGAACCTTATTTAATCATATTTTGTGATATATTTGTTTAAGTGTTATTATGTTATATATATTTTGATGTCTTTGATATACAATATTGTAACAATTTTCTATTTAAGAAGAATTTATTATTTTAAATATATGTGTGATAGCATATATTTTGAACATGAATTGAATATTGGAAGTTAAAACTGGTTGAATTTTAAGGCCAAGCGACAATTACATCAAGACCCAGCTGTTTTGACGTCAACATGAAAGGTACCTGTTTTTAATTTTTAATATTTTTTATCTTCATATAAAAACATACATCACTATCCAATCAAACCTCATATTTGATTCCTTCTGTCCATTCCCAGAACACCTTCCTAATTTCCTTACTATATCAAACTCATCAACTCAACCTTATCATAACTATTATTACGATATTTATTTTAAATTCAATTATACAGACTTTTCGATCACCATTGGTGGTACGACGATAAAAAAACAAAAGGAGGTTTTATAAGCTCTTGAGTTCGAGTCTCCATAAGCCCTAATAGGATACCCACATAGGGCTTATCTGATCGTTAATTTTAGGGTCCCGAATGATTAGTTGAGATGCACGTAAACTATCCAGACACTCCCAATCAACGAAAAATATATATATGTATTACGACTTTACAAAATTGAAAATTCTCCAAAGTGAACTTCCTGAGATTTTTAACGTGCGAATCAAAGGTGAGCATCTAAACGCTCATTTCACAAACTCTAACAATCAAAAGACGTTCCATTTGATCTGCACGTTAAAATAATTATTACAAAAAACAGTCTCAATGGGCAAGAATATAATTGGGCCCTAAAGAAGGCCCATAACAGAATTTGTTTTTTTTTTTATTTTCTATAAATTGATATTTATCAAAGAGGGGTCTCTCACCGTCGTCATGTCGGCAATAATAGTGCAAAATAAATTATTTGTTATTACAATTCTTGTTAGTGACGTTTTAAACACTGTCGTTTTGCTTTTATGGGTATTAGCATTTAAGGTCAAAATTTAGGAGGCCCAGGCCAGGACAGGTTTTAAAGGTCAATTACACTTGTTTGGGGCCTACAGTATTAATATTTGGATTTTTCGCTTTAAATTTCTCCAATTCCCCATCAAATCATTATTACTATAATCACACTATTATGTTAATTAATACTAAATTGTTATCAAATCTCACTTCTTATAGCATTATAATCTTGACTTATAGTGGACTGTTCAAGATTTGAATCCAATGTCTTTTTTAACTAATAACGTATCCGAAATCTTCATTTAATCAACGAGTCTCAAATATAGAAAATTCAATTTTCATTTAAATTTAAACTTTAATTTTCGTTAATTAGAATAAAAGTCTGTTTGATTAAGCGCATCTATTGGGAAAAAAAAAAAAAGTGTTTATAATTTTAAATAAGTTATTATGCGGTTTCTCTCATAGCTCTTTTTGAGATTATTCGAAGTATTAAAATTTCAAAAATATTTCTATTAAATACTATAAATTTAACTTGATTTATTCTTGTATATAAAACCCTTTTTGGTAAATTAATACTAGAAAGCTCTTTTGCATTTTCTTTAATCAAACAACTAACAGTTTTTCTTAAAAACTATATTTTCAAGAGCTCTTCTTCTTCTTCTTCTTCTTCTAGTTATGTTTGAATAAACCGAATCAAACAGACTTTAATTTATATATGAATAATCATACGTAAGATTTTTGTCTTAAAAAACGATTAAATTTTATTTATAATTTATATTAACAAGAATTAAGATTGAGATTATAAAGAGAATTTTCTTTGTTTAATAATCTCATTTTATAATAGCTCTCAAAATTCTTGCAATCATGAAGAGGAAAATGAGTTTTTTTTTTTTTTTTTCTATTATCAGAGTATCCAAACTAATTTACTTATACCTTAACTAATCGTTCAATGTTTTAGAGCCCTTAACTTATTAGTGTCCAAAGAATTCAAATTTAGAGGCTAGTAAAACTTTATTTTTTGCTTTTTTACGTGTGTGGTGGTTAAGAAAGGGGAGTTTAAATGCAGCCAATTTTGAAATGAATTTGAAAAGTTGCATTATAGTGGAATTCAAATAAAAATAAATAAAAATAAAAATAGAAAAGCTCTCAATCACCATCACACCTCACTATCTTTTGTCCCCAAAATACGCTATACACCATGTCACGTCAACCTAAGATCACAGTCAAAATCTCGTGGGAATTTGGTTTCTAATCTCGTACTTTAATTATAGAAAATCTCATTTGGATTTTGGACCACCCGTTTTCTACTTTGCGATAAATTGATGATTTTTTTTTTTTTTTTTTTTTTTTTTCACATATCGTGGGCTTGAATCTCGTAAAGTTTGGAAAGAAAGAAAGTAAAGAAGAAGACAAGAAAAGTTATTCTCCCTTTGTCTAAAAGGAGCTAAAAATTAAATTAAAATTGGGAAGATAAAATTTCTCTTTATACCTAACATTTCTTCTTTTTCTAATTTCTATCCAATATAAAGTTTGATTCAACATGTAGAAAAATAATTCAACCCAATACTATATAATAAGGATCATCATTTAATATATTTTAATCACCCCTAGGTGGTCAGATAAGGCGATAGGGACTTTTGGATATATTATTCAAAAAGTCTTGAGTTTGATTCTTTTCGATTGTTAATATGGGTGATCACTGAAGTTTGAAAAGATATACCCGATCGATAAATTTAAGGCCCAAAGAATTAATCAAAGTATGCGTAAACTGATCTGAACACCTCTAATCACTAAAAAAAAAAAAAAAAAAAAAAAAGATCATAGTCATCCTTTAGTGATTGTTGTTGGTAACATTATCAACCTAGTATAATCCTAAATTTAAACGTTGAAAATATTAAAAACAATTATTAGATCAATCGGTCTCCACGTCAATCAATACCCAGAAAAGAATAATGCTATATGTCAAATTCTTTTTATG